CCCGTGGCGATGGTCACCTGCCGCAGGGGGTGGCCGTAGAAGGGGAAGTCAAAGGACAGAACAATTCTCTGTGGGGTGGAGAGAACAGAACTCAGCCTTGGGAAAACCGGCTGGGAATGTGGGGAGGATGGGATAATGGGATGGGATGATGGGATAATGGGGTGGGATGATGGGATGGGATGATGGGATAATGGGATGGGATGATGGGATCCTGTAGGTTCCTTCATCCCTGCAATGGGTGGGGGAGCCACAAACACTTCCCAAACCCTGAAACTTCCCAAGTCTGTCACAGGGACCCTGCTGGGGACACGCGAGGACACCGGGCCAGCCCATGGCTCAGCAGGGCCAACAGGGCCTCACCAATGCTAGCCCAGGGCTCACCAATGCCAGCCCGAGACTCACCAATGCTAGCCCGAGACTCACTGATGGTAGCCCAGCACTCACTGATGCTAGCCCAGGACTCACCAATGGTAGCCCAGCGCCCACCAGTGGTAGCCCATGGCTCACCGATGCTAGCCCAGCGCCCACCAATGGTAGCCCATGGCTCACCGATGCTAGCCCAGCGCCCACCAATGGTAGCCCATGGCTCACTGATGGTAGCCCATGGCTCACCGATGCCTGCCGGTGTGTGTTGGAGAGGATCCCGTGGATCTTGACGTGGCTCCCGTTGGCCGCTGCCAGGTCCAGCCAGAGCCCGCGGCGCCGCGCGTCCCCCGGGCCGTAGACCCGCGACACGTAATAGCTGTGATTGTCCTCCTGCGGGGACACACGGGGACACGGGGACAGCGGTCACGGCTGCCACAGCGCCCACCCCGAGCGGCCGGCATGTGCTCCCGGCACAAAGCAGGGGAAAATCCGGGATGAATCCGGGAAGAATCCGGCAAGAATCCGGCAAGAATCCGGCAAGAACCCGGCAAGAACACGGGAAGAACACGGGAAGAACACGGGAAGAACACGGGAAGAACACGGGAAGAACACGGGAAGAACACGGGAAGAACACGGGAAGAACACGGGAAAAACACGGGATACATTTTGCATAAATCCAGCATAAATTTGGGATAAATCCAGCATACATTTGGGATAAATCCTGGAAAAATCCAGGATAAATCTGGGGAAAATCCGGCATAAATTTAGGATAAATTTAGGCTAAATCCGGGGTGCATCCCAGAGCCCTCCCTTTCCCTATGAATGGGGAAACTGAGGCACGGGGGAGGCTGTGCCTGCATCCCAGCACAGATGGGACAGGACACGGCCGGGTGACAAAGGACAAAACCTCCCGTGTCCCCAAAGTGCCCCAAATAATGCAGAGAGGGGGAAGGAGGAGCCCAGGACTCCTGAGCTCGCCGGGATGGTGACAAGAATTGGGACAGGAGGGGTTGGGGACGCAGGAATCGGGGAGGGAGCAGAGCTTCACCCTTTGGGGTGGGAGCTGCCTCTCCCCACCCCAAATTTGGGATATTTTGAGAGGAAAAGAGGGGAAAAACTCCTCCAGGCCCTGCAGTTGCACCCCCCGAGGTGGGACAGGGTGAGATCCACCTGTGACCTTGTCACAGATCCCAAAACTTCAGGAAATTGCTGCTTTTCCCTCCAGCCGGCAGCATCACACCCTCCCTGCGGTTCCCCGGCATCCCCCAATGGTCACCGGCGGTTTTGGGCTGGTTTGGGGTAATTTTAAACATTTCCACTTTGTGACTTTCCTGGTTCATGGCTCCTCTCCATCCCCGAAGGATGGAGCAGGGAGGGAGCAGCCACTTCATGCCCGGTGTGCTGTGCCACGGGGGCCACCAAAATATACCGGGACAAGTCACCAAAAAAAGCCAAGAACACCGGGACAAGTCACCAAAAAACAAAAAACATCGGGACAAGTCAACAAAAAAACAAAAACACCGGGACAAGTCACCAAAAAACAAAAAACATCGGGACAAGTCACCAAAAAACAAAAAACACCGGGACAAGTCAACAAAAAAACAAAAACACCGGGACAAGTCACGAAAATACCAAAAATATCTGGACAAGTCACCAAAAACACCGAGACAAGTCACCCCCCCAAGAAAATACTGGGACAAGTCATCAAAAAACCAAAAACAACGGGACAAGTCACCCTTCCCAAAAACATCGGGACAAGTCATCCCCCCCCAAAAAAAAAACATCGGGAAGAGTCACCCAAAAAAAAAAAAATATCGGGACGAGTCACCCTCCCCACCAAAAACACCGGGACAAGTCACCAAAAAAACAAAAACACCGGGCCAAGTCACCAAAAAACACCGGGCCAAGTCACCCTGTGCCAAAAACCACATCCCCCCCCTCAGAGCGCAGGGAACCCCCCCGGCTGCCAAGGGACCCGCCACAAATAACCGCGAGCTAATTAAGGGCGGCTAATTAGGCACAGGCGGGCTGGGAGAGCCGAGGGAGGTGTCCCGCGAGGTGACACCGCGGTGGTGACACGGGAAGAGAGGACCAGGGGACGGTGGCGTTGTCCCCACGTGGCACCCACAGAGCGAAGCGTCCCGAGGTTTCCAGGCTGGAAGGGCTCGCAGCCATCCCAGGGCTGTAATTAGCCCTTGGGGAGGTAATTAGCCCTTGGGGATGTAATTATCCTTTGGGATGTGGGTCCAGCCCCACACACGGAACCGGAGCCAGGCTGGGAATAGCTCTGGGGTGGCAGCGGATCCGGAGTGGATCTGGGGTGGATCTGGAGTGAATCCGGAGTTGACCCAGAGTTGATCCGGAGTGGATCCGGAGTGGACCCGCAATGGATCTGGGGTGGATCCGGAACTGATCTGGGGTGGATCCGGAGTTGATCAGGAGTGGATCCGGAATTGATCCACAGTGGATCCGGAATGGATCCGGGGTGGCTCCGGAGTTGATCCGGAGTGGATCCGCGGTGGATCCGGGCACGGTTGGGGTGCGGGGGGTCCCCCACTCACCACGATGCGGGTCCCGTTGTCCGGCAGGGTGTCGATGGCCAGGCTGCCGCCCCCCAGGTCCTGGCTGATGCGGGTCCCCTCGGACGTGTCCCCAGCCCGCTGTCCCTCGCTCCCGGGGGGGCGTCCTGGGGGGAAGGGGGGGACACAGAGAGGGGTCAGTGACCCCCCCCGGGGTCAGTCCTGTCACCCAAAAACGCTTCAGGCTCTGTGACACGAGTTTTGAGGGGTCCCAGCCTCGAGGGATGGGGATGGGAGGTGGCTGCAGGTGCGGGGACAGGTGACAGGTGACAGTGACCCCGGTCAGGGGAGGACAGCTGGGAACAGCAGCCACAAATGGCAGCACCCGCACACAGCAGCGCGAGGGGGAAACCGCACCGGTGTGGCCGTGTCCTCC